TCTTTCCTCCTCCCAGCCTCCTGCTCCAGCTCTGCATGGGAAGAGGCAGGGAGAAGATGGAGGGCAAGCACAGCATGTTCCCCAAGCTCAAAGACTCCACATAACTTCTTTATGCACGGACATTGTACGACCTTCATTTTCTCTGAGTGTGTTTCTGCAGATACTGAGTTGTTGTTTTGTTGTTGTTGTTAACTAAAAAGGCAATGCTGTCGAAGCCGAGGTCTAGGATACAAAACTGAGGACGAGCGTATATCCATGTGACCTCAGCCGTAGGAGGCCAAGGTAGGTCAAAGAGAAATGGGTCATTTGTGGGTGTGTGTTCACAGCCTGGCAGAATAAACGCTTGATGCCACTGGACAATGCACTTGGCTCGGTGCTAACAGTTTTAGCAAGGGCCTTTCTATACCACCTGGGTTATCTAGATTTGGCCTGTAGATTCGGTCCTATGTGACAGAGAACAAAAGGTATATTAAGCGTTACTTGCAGATTTTGAAAACGTGATCCTAAGGTCTCTGGTTTGCTAGAAGGCACTCCATTTCCAGAGTTTAGTTTTGGTTAGTTTGCAGGTAGGTTCTCAAATTTTTTTGCTCTGGACGGGCCTCTGAACCACAATCGACCTATCTATGCCAACCAAAAGCTGGGATCACAGGCATGTGCTACCAGGCCCATCTCTGTTTATTTTTGAGACAAGAGTCTCATTAGATAGCCCAACTTGGCCTCCAACTCAAGATCCTTCTGTCTCAGCCTCCTCAGTGTGAGGATAGGGCCTGAGATAATCTTTCTTTCTTTCTTTCTTTCTTCCTTCCTTCCTTCCTTTCGATTGGTTATGGGGCTTGAACTGGCACCTGGGCCTTGTCCCTAAGCTCTTTTGCTCAAGGCTAGCACTCTCGCACTTTAAGCCACTTCCGGTTTTTGAGAGGTTAATTGGAGATAAGAGTCTCTCAGGAATTGTTCTGCCCCGGGCTGTCTTTAAACCACCCTACTTAGATTTTAGCCTCCTGAGTAGCTAGGATTACAGGCATGAGTCACCAGCGCCTGCTGCATTAACAGCCTTAGAGCACTGAGTCTTAGAGAAACTTAGTTGTTAGGAAATCTAACAAGATAAAGTCTATAGCCTAAGGGATTAGCTCCAAGATCTTAAAGCACTCTGAAAGGTTGTTTTAACTCTGGGAGTTTTGTCAATTAACAGATCAGATCAGCCTTAACCAGGGAAGAAGAGAGTAAAACCGTCAGCATAGGAAGACTCAAGAAATAGGAAACCACCCTGTTTTCCTCACTATTCAGGAGGCTGAAATCAGATGTTGGAGATCAAAAGCAGCCTGGGCAGGAAAAGTCCATGGGACTGTTATCTCTTCCGAACCAGCAAAATGCTCGAAGTGGAGTTGTGGCTCAAATGGTAGAGCACCAATCAGTTGTGAATAAAAAAACTGGGTGAGTTCACGAGACACTGAATTCAAGTCCCAGCACCAATGCAGACACACATGTGTTCACATACATGCGTGCACACACATGCACACATGCGCACACGAATGTGTGCACCAGAACAAAATACCAGGAAGTTGAAACATGTTTTGTCAGAGGGGAAGAGGGAAGTCAAGGAGAATGAAGGCAAATGGAGAGAGGAAGGGTGAGCACAGGCAGTCACCAGATTCTAATGTCCACTTATGAAAATGGAAGCAGGGGCTGGGAAGGTGGCTCAGTGGTAGAGCGCTTGCCTTGAATGCAGGAGGCCCTGGGTTCGATTCCTCAACACCATATAAGCAAAAAAAAGCTGGAAGTGGCGCTGTGGCTCAGGTGGTAGAGTGCTAGCCTTGAGCTGAAGAGCTGAGGGACAGCGCCCAGGCCCAGAGTTCAGGCTCCATGACCGGACCCAAAAAAACAAAACAAAACAAAACCAAGAAAATGGAAGCAGGTAAGTGGAGGGGATAGGTGAGGTTTGGGGAGATGGGGGAAAATAACAGAAAAGGTGACATTGATTGAGATGACACTGGCTCATAAACTGACCTGGTGAACGGAAGCCACTCTGTACAAGGAAGAATACACTTGCCAAATGGCCGGCTCACTAACAACCAGAACAGCACCATTCAGAGAAGAGAGGGATGACCTCTAACATGCTCAAGGACAATGGCCTGGGGGCTGGACGGTAATTCGAGTTTTCCTTCACAGACTAAGTGATCAATTACTCTGTGTTTTCATTGTAATCCAGCCTGGAAATGTAACATAGTGGGAGAATTTAGGAGTTATTTAAGAGCACCTTTTTATAGTTTGGGTTTTATGTGTGTAAGTGTGGGAAGGAACGGAAATCTTGAGGAAAAAAAGCACATGAAAGCCTCTTTTTTTTTTTGAACCATTTAGGGTCCCAGAGTCACTTTGTTAGGATCAAAACACACAAAAATATCTGCTGTGCATAACTTGGCTTGTGTGTGGTAAGATGACATTTGAGATAAGGGTATTAGAGTTTGTTCAGACAATAACACATTTATAAAGTATTTATTTTTAAATACTGTTTTAAATGGAACCGCAGTTCCAAAGGAAGGAATTTTTACTAATAGATGTGGATGTTCCGAAGTACCCTTAGGAAAAAAAAAAGAAATAGTCACATGTAGAAAAGCAAAGATTTTTTTTTAATCTCTGAACTTGGATGCAAATAAAGATAATAAAAGAGTTCTTTAAGAAATTAGGACAGCCTGGCGCCGATGGCTCATGCCTAGCTACTCAGGAGGCCGAGATCTGAGGATTGCAGTTCAAAGCCAGCCCCAGGCAGAAAAGTCCCTGTGAGAAGTTTACCTCCTTTTAACCACTCAAAAACCAGAAGGGTGCTGTTGCTCAAGTGGTCGAGTGCTAGCCTTGAGCACAAAGAGGCTCAGGGATAGTACCCAGGCCTGAGTTCAAGCTCTCCACAATTGACAAAAAAAGAAGGAACGAAAAAGGGAGGGGGGGAGGCAGGGAGGGAAAGAGGAAGGGAAGCAGATA